TGTGTGTGTGTGTGTGTGTGTGTGTGTGTGTGTGTGTGTGTGTGTGTATGTGATGTCTTAAGAACTAATAGAACTCATTACAAAGTGCACTTACCTTTATAAATAACACATCAAATGCACACAAGTACATACCTTTCCCAGGATAAACGCCTGGGGGCATCTTCATTACAATAGTTGGATGCTGTCAAAGTGGAAGCTGTTAATAATGCATTTCTTTCTACACATTGTTGCACTTGCTGTGGTTGCTGTTGTGACTTCGTTATCGTACTAGTGCCGGTTTGATGAAGTAATTTAGCTAAGCGCCGCGTAAGAGCCGTACTCGACGTGCTAGCAGTGCCTGCTTGATTAGTTGCAACGTTGAACGTATTATTGAAGAAACTACCATCAATGCCGCAATTTTCTAGTGTAGGTGTATTCTCGCCAGAAGAGCGTGTATGAGTATGTTTGGAGGCATTCCCTATTATACCAACACAAGTGTTATCATTGTCGTTGCCCGTACGCTTTTTAGTGGCCAGCCGATAAGCACGTGCAGCTACAACATGTGGCGATGGAATTCTAATCAATGTCGCATACAAAGCATTGTGCGAGTGTGCATAATTTATTAAAGAGAAAAGCATATAAGAACAAAAACATAAGTGGCTACGTAAGTGGCATTTCTAAGCTTATCACGAAAAAGAAAACAAAAAAAAAAAGAATAGAAATGGAGAAAAAAAATTTTATATGGACCTCTTTTTTATCTACATTTTGTTTTCCTTTTTTATACCCACCATCGAGTGTTGGGATTATATTCGTTTTATTAAAACTTGTGCTACATCTACCGGATAAGCAAATACATAAGGAGAACGGAGAACAAGTCACAAGTTAACCAGGGTCTATTCCCAGTGCTGTAGACGACACGTCTAAGGTGGCGGCCATTTCCCTCATATCCCTCTTCTCACATTTCTTTCTGACCTATCGTCGTCGTGTTTATATACCCATACAAAAGATATCCCGTTAGTGGCGACGAGTCATTTTAAAAGAAGTTTTAAAAATCCTAAATCCCTTCTTTATTTGTATCAAAATTCGAATGAAATTGAATGAAGCCCTTTTATCAGTCTGTATAAACATATCTGTGGTAAGTATTCTCCTTGTCGCATGCTTCGTCAAATTTCGCGAAACTATTTCAAATTCGCTCAAGTAGGTTAGTATTGAAAATTGGTCAAGTTGGTCAATATACCAGAGCAGAACAGAACGTAAACAAATTGGTGGTTTTGCCCATTGCTCATAAACTACGACACGAAAAGTGGTAAAAAATTTCCAGAGATACTCTATGAATATCTATATGAAATTGGAGAAATTGGAGCGGCTACGTGCACGCTACAATATGAAATATTATTCCTTTCCTTCTTTAGCTTAGGGCGTAAAAGATTCAATCACAACCGAATATATAATATTCTTAGTTGAAAAGAATTCGTAACTTACCTCAACAATACTGAACCGTCAGCCGCATAACATTCAAAGTCATCTGAACCTGATGAGGCATACGCTGATAAAGTTGTTGTTGTTAAGGCATCGGGTGTTTGTAAAGCCCCACCGCTACCTCCGTAAGGTTTTTGCTGTTGGCCAACCGTCATCACACCGCCGCCTACGTTATGCGGTGTACTGCCAGACGATTTGCGACGATAAGCTAACGTGGCATCATCTTTAGGCAAATTAAGAGATTTTATGCTTAACGTGTTGTTGTTGTTGTTATTATTATTGTTAAAATTATTATTATTATTATTGTGCCAGACTGGTGTTGTCGCGTTTATATTGCGGTTCACTAAAGACCAACGATTTCCGCTACTATTTGTTTGTTTTACATTTGTAATCCTCGGTTGCTCATCTTCACGATTTATTTAATTTGTTTGTTTTGTTTTTTTTTTTTTTTTTTTTTTTTTAAATAAAAAAAGGTTTTACAAACAAGATATGTTAAAATTGTCAGAGAAAAATTTTGTTAATATAAAAATAAAACAAAAAAAATTCAAACAAAATAAGTGTTATGTTCTTGTTAGCTTAGCTTCGTAGGCACGAAACTTATTAGCCATCCATTTTGAAAGCTGTATAGTTAAAGATAGTGTAACGGCATTTTTTCATTAAGAAAAGTTTATACAATGCTCAAAGCGGCTCAAGTCTTCCTTGAATAAGTTTATAGCCCCCAATGGTAGTGTCTCGTAAAATCCCTATGATCCATAGCTTGCTTTCAGTGAATCATTAGAAAGATATAATTCTGTTTTGCCCGGAATAAAATCCCGTATGGATCGAGTAACGGTTATGCCCAAAAATAGAGTTGAATTTTTAATAAGAATGAAGACGAAGAGAGTTTCCTGATTTATTCGATCACGTGTCTTCTTTTCGTCCAAGGTAATCAATAAGAAGAGTTGAGAGTAAAAAACTTGTTGAGGTAATCTTTGAGTTTGAAGAAATGAAATTTACTTTCACTCCCTTTTACTGTTAACTTCTTATGGCAGTGGACTGGAGTTACCAGCCATTTGGCTTATTTCCATCATCCAGTGCTTCTTAAAGAATTGTTCCCTTATAGCAAGTTTTCTATATAAAATATTTGCGTCTACTTTTGTTTGAGATATCTATTGCGTCGTCTACGTTAAGGCCCATTATCTCTATCGTCTTCTTTTTGCATTTTCCGGTGATGATAAAAAATCATTTATCTCAGATTTCTATTCAGCATTATTTCCATCTCATTAGACTGCCTGCACTGCACTAATTTTGTCATTCTGTTACCAAAAAAGCATTTGTATATATATATCTGTACAATCGAAACTAAACTATGCTTGACGATGCTTGATTAAACTTTGATTAATTTTTCCGAATTTGTTAACAATTAGAGCTGCTTTGGCGAATGTACATCACGAAGGGATAATTGGGTGGTTAAACTTGACTCCATCTATTTCAGTGAGGACAAACAATTAGAGCACAATCATCCACTTTGCTTTAAGCTATGACGGTATAACACTCTATACACAATACGTATAGATTTATTTGCAATCGCGAGCAGGTTCTAAACCAGTTCAAGTAATTCATCTAAATTCGTTTCTTTTTCGAGCGTTTCTGCCCTAATTCAAAACTGACTATAATCTTGATATAAATATAATGCATCATGAAGGAAAGATACGAAGATCAAAGCAAAATTGCTAATATCTAGAAGGTATAGCAGATAGGTAAAATTTACCGCGAACCTGAGAGTCGTGTGAATCTTGCGCTCACAGTTAATCAAAAATCTAGCGATTTTTATGCATTTGCTTACAATATCGACAGCCCGAGCGGATAAAGTCTTCCTACGATTGTGGGTTGCTTTTCCCTATTACCTATGGTATGTGTGTATCTGATAAGTATTTGTTTTTTAAAGAAAAAAAAGAGCAAAAAAAAAAAAAAGAAGCGGAATATGAGCATGGGAATCGCGATTGTGCATCATTTCACCTAGATATCGGGAATAATTTTTCCGTTTTCATTAATCGAATGATTTTCACATGAACGCATTTGATTTTCATTTTATTGTCATTTTAATTGTGTATATAAAAAAAAAAAAAAAGAGGAAAACTTTTCTCATGTGAAATGTTCGTTCATGTTTTCATCATTAGAGTGAGTCAAATATATTTATTATTTCTCTTGTAGAAGAAATTTTCATCTCATTAATAGCACACAAAATCGCCCCAATAACAACAAGTTGATCAGAACGTTAAGCTGATTTATATAAATCTCACTGTTGCGTCCATTCGGGATTTGGACGAAAAATAGATACTTGGCCTTGGTCCTGAAAGATTAATTCATAACTTGTAAATTAGAATGATTATCGAATCATTCGGCCCATGTCACGTTGTATTATCAAAACTGGTGCTTAATAGCTAAGTGAGGATAGATGACATTTTTAAAATTAAATACAAAAAGGAGCCAGCGAACGAAATATTATAGCTAGATCAAGATGAACTCTTCAGTGTTGTGCAATGATTATTTTCACCATAAAATACAAGAGATTAGATTACGTTATCAAATGTCCTGAGAACTGTTAAAGGGGAAGTGATCGAAAAGGTACACGTTTATGGTCCAAACTTGGTTTAGCAAATTCACAGTCAAATCAATTTTTCTCATAAAATTCTGATATTTATATAAAGAAGTTTTTTTTGAAAGAAGTTCCAAAAAGTAGTCTATCAAAATGCTAACCTTCACCGATATTTGTCTTTCTATAAAGATCTTTCTATATCTCTTTCTAAATGGAAATTTATATCGGGAGTATCAGAAAAGTGATCTAATTCAAGCTACTTTCAAAAAGATTCATCTTTGAATCAAGTCATATCGATCTTTCAAATATCGTGCAAACGTTTTGAAGCTTCCAACCTCGCCGAGTCGCCGAGTAGGCAAATGATCAACAGTCTTGAGTTCAAATTCAAAGTGCTCAAAGAGTTTTCAATAAAGCCTTAAAGCCCTGCTTGCTGTCGCTGTAAGACGTTAGTCTTAGAATTTATTTCTCTGGCTAAATTAATAATAATAATAATAAGAGTGACGTTACAATTCGTATCAATAATAAATCGTAAAGTTGTTATTATATCAATAAGATTAAGTGTCTCGTATTGTAAGAGTATGTATGGATGTAATTATATACCAGTATATGATAACTCAATATACTAATATACTAATCTTCCACACAAAAATACAAAGGAAATCATCATCGAGCAGATAGATTCGCACAAAATTTAATATGCCTCGTAACACAAATGTGTTTGTGATGTAGGATTAAACAAAAGAAAAAAAGCGATAAGAAAATTATTTCACATTAAACTGGAAATTATTTTCCATAGCTAATCCACTACGTTATCGATGTTGTACAATTTTTCATTTTTCTTTCATTTTTGAAGGCTTCTAATTTTTGATTCAAGCAAGCGTGACATGTAAATAAAGTGTCGTAAAGCATTAAATTTGAATGAGAGAGAATTTAAATTCACGCATATACCTTTTACTATATATAAAATTTAGTCTTGCAAGTGTTTGCGTTACTGCATGGGATTTGCAATTACAAGGCTGTTGAGCCTTGCAAAGCAATCAAAGCGTCTTAAATACTATTAAGTTATCTTTATCTTACTTGGGGAGGAAAAAAAAAAAATTTGTAATGTTAACGACTTTGAGGCCAAATAGATATATAGCTCGCTTATAATGAAAAGCAAAGGGTAATGCTAAAGTAAAGTTTCGAAAGGACGTGGTGTTAATAAAGTAAATCAAAATAAAATTTCAATTCCGAAATATAAAAGTTTATGTAAGCGGAAAAACTTCAATTTATATAAGTGGCTTTTATATTTTCACTACCTTGACCTTTATATTTGAGTGTAAACGATAATAAGTAGGTGGATATTATAAAGCAGCTAAAGCATTTTTTAAGGACTACCCACAATAATTGTAATTAATTTTTCTAGAAATTTATGCTATAGGTAAAGGCTTTCTCTCGAAAAAAAGTGTCTGCTGACATAACGAGACTGCACTGCTTTAATGTAATTGCAATAGAATGAAAAACGTTCAACTTTGTTGAAAATTATAATTAGGTCATTAACTTATATCTCGTTATTAACATAAGCAGGCGTAGATCATTTCTATAATGAACGGATGATATTCCATTTAATTACAGTTTACAGGCAACGACTTGAATGCAATTTGTCAGTTATTGACGAAACTATTTAGGATTGAAAGTATGTCGCGTGTTTTCGAGTATGAAATAAATTTCGCGCGTTTTGTTCTCAACAATGTGATCCCTTTTGTTAGTTACGTGGCACGTTGCTTGTGCCTCGTTCAAACCACATACCGCTAATGTGTAATTCGTCTAATTTGTACCTAAAACTAATGGTAAATATTGCATGCTAGCGACCGTCAATGATATCGTATAAAGGTGTGACATAACGATATGAAATGCGCTCTAGATTTTCTGGCTTTTCTGGCTTGATTAAAGAGAATGATTCTGTTCGCTAATAAGAGAGTCGTTAAGGTGAAAGTATGTCATCTCTCACGTAAGCATAATTTTACACATATCATTACCATTTTCTCGCTCTTACGGTTTTCGAATATTTTCAGGGCGATTTTAAAAGCAGTACGCGATTGCTGTACGCGGGGTCGCACATGCATCTCAGTTTCTGCTCAGGAGCCCAAGGAAACCCACCCAATAATTTCGCGGACAATGTTTTCCCGTTCTGTCACTGCTTCCACTTTTGCTTCGTAGGAGAAATAAAACTTTTGTACTTTTCGTGTCATCAGCGATATTCTCTTTCATGTCATTTTACTAACATGCATTTGCAGACATTGCCAGATGAAAATATTAATAATTCAATATGTAAGTATTGTCTGTCTGATAGACATTTGAAAGTATTTGACATCGCTTTCTGTTTGAATATTCATTAGATTGAAAACTGTGTAATATTGGAACCGAGTAAAAAAAACTTAGGTACAAATCGAGACCCAAGCGTACATTGCAGCTTTTAGATAGTTTTATAGTTAACACTAATGCAAAGTGAGTACATATTGTAAAAGCAAATATTTTAAGCCATTTATTCTAAATCGTATTACGACGATGATAAATTTAGTTAATGACTTATTCAATCAATCCAGTTAATGGGAAACATTGAATGTTATAAGTGGTAAATAGTGTAGAAAATATTTGAAATAAATTTTACTAACATACCCCAATGATACTGCGATTTTTCAGGATGCAGCGATAATACCGGCGGGGCAGGCACTATAATTGCAGGTAAAGTACGTGAACGTAACAGTGGCGGAGGTGCTTTTCGATTCGTACGATTCGATGTGGTATGCGTTGCATTTAAAGCTTGATTTCTACAAAAAAAGAAAAAAAACAAAAAGAATTTTATTTATCACAGTTAGTAATAATTTTTATAAATACAAATAAAATAAAAATTAATTAAAAATTTTCTTAACGAGATGCCATTTAAAGGATGCGTTCATAATAAACACCGGAATTTCAAATCCAGATATTCTTGCTATCTTGATTACGAATCTATATATAGAGCTGTTTGCCTTATCTGTGTACACCTCGGTCCATGTATCGGTTAAATATCGCTATATACATTTTTTATATTTTAGTATAGGTTATATAGGCGTAATACGCCAGTTGTATATATCGGCATATCTACTGCTTATGTATAGGTATATCTGTATATAAATCGTTTATATATCGGCATAATTATACCGGTACATATATATTAGTTTATAAAAAAGGAATATATGCATATATATGCAAGTATGTAAAATCTACTTATTACTATATATATCTTATATATATATATATATATATATATGTATTGATATCTGAACATATCGTTCGTTATGTATATATATATATGTATATATATATATATATATATATATTGATATCTGAACATATCGTTCGTTATATATATAATATATGCATCTATACAAATATACAACTACAAAAGTGTATATATACATCGGTGTACATATAGAGTATACCAGCAAATGTATATATCGCTATGTATACATGCAGGATATGCATAAACATTAAACGTCATTCAATTTATTGATATCTATTTATTGCATTTGAAATGACGTTCGTATATGTTGTTTATCTCCTTTAGTCGATACAATTATTTTTCAATGCACATAAAAAAAAAACCTTTAAATGCACGGATGATTAAAGCTTAAAAGATTTGTGATTTAAATTTAATTAAATTTTTGAATTCATATGTTGTTCTGATTACGTCGTTATCAATAAAATAAAGTCTAAAAGTTGAAAGGAAATTTGCTCGAATAAACCACTTAAAATTTTTACAATGGTAATTAATGATAACATAAGAAAAGATTCTATTACAGTCCATAGATTGACATGCACTACACAATTCTCCTAGTGGGTGCTTTTCGGTAGCTATACAATATATAAAAAAAAAAAAAAAAAATTGATAAAAAACGCAAACGCATACATTCATATTTATAATATATATGAGTACAGAAGTCTGTTTGACCGATATGTGTCGAATAAAGCGAAAGTCGCTGTATAGGGAATAAAGGGAGTCTAATGCATTTGGCTAGCTATGAACAAGTTTCGCATAAATCATACACATAACATTGCTCTTCGCTGCCCTCAATTACAACGGTCGAATGAACACCAATGCATACCGCTGCATACGAATAAACTCATTCGCTTAATCGGCTAAATCTTTATTTCAACGCAGATTACAAACGCAGAAATGTGATTAAAGTAACTCGCAAATGCTTATTGTGATGTAAATTTCGATAAAAATCGAAGTTGTTTATTTTCCTTTGTCCAGTTTTGTATAGAATCTCATTGAATTGGATTTGAAATAAATAAATTTATATATATATTTTTACCACAAATGCGAAAGCAAAAAAAATTTCTAAAAGACATTTTCATTTAAATTTAAGTCTTTCAATTTTATTAAACCTCAACGTTGTATAATTGTAATCATTTCAAAGTGTTCTCCTCTTTATACGAATCTATAAATCGCGTTTGTGTTTACTTTTCAAATTTGCTCCGAGGTTGAAAAACGACCATAAAACTTAATTGGTTAAGTCAATAAGCTTTGGTTTGCTTCTGTCGCTTTGTTGTCTCATTTTTTTACAGCACTCAAACAAGGTGGTGTAATAATATTTTCGTTCTATTCGTAACAACTTGCTTGAAACACAAACGGCTTGAAACAACCTGGTGTAATAGTAACATCGTTTTATGCGTAACAACTTGCTTGAAACACAAACGGCTTGAAATGGCGACAACTACGACACTGTGTTCCTCAAACTCTTCTCTGTACCTAGGTACAAGCATTTAGATAATTACATTTCGATTTGTACTTCAAATGCGGGGAGATAAACTATGCTTTATGGGTAGCATAGATGTACCGAAACTCTCACCTCCCAGTGGTGATTCCCGGGAAACGGCTTCGGCCGGCTAAGAAGAGTTTAAGGTTTTGGGCTGCTAACTCGGCGACGAGTTTCTAAGAGATGGTGGAGGGGTTGGCTGGAAGATGAGCTCTTCACTCAATAGCTGGTTACTACCGAGGAAATATATGAATGAATGGTTTTTCAGTACGTTGAAGGTAGTAATCTAGCGAGTGCATGGTAGATCACTCTGCCATGTCAGTGCAATACCCGAGACCTACATATCTCGAAGAAAAGTAGTTCATGGTGTTGGCAACCAAGGAAGTATGGTGAATCCGAAGCAAGTACGGTTGTTTTTAACTTCCGCCCAAAGTATGCCAAAGGCTTTGCAAAACAAATTGGGAGCCACGGGGGTCAGGAGGCTCGCTTCACAAAGCCACGTAGGCCTGCGGGTGTATGATGGACTTTGTTCATAAAGTCATAATGAAATAGATTAATTTCTTCAAGAACAATCATACAAAAAGGAATTGACGGACGGCTTTCCCTTTGGCCGATTAATAAAAACCCTCTCGAGAATTAATTTAATATATGCAAAAATTAAAAAAAGGGATTTGAGGGAAAGCCTTTTTCCCCTTTTGCCTTATTTTCACTTTTGAACATATGTCACGGATGCCTGCGGGTAATGGTGGTATTTGATCAACAGCACAGTGGAAGCCTTATGGCGGAAGCAAGCATTGATCAATTTGTGAGTCCTGAGTGCTTGGGTGCGGCCCTTCGGGGAGTACTCGTGGTGGCTGTGGTTGGCAAGTTCCTAGCCAAACTGGAACAGTCGAGTGCAGCTAGGCCTCACCACTGACCAGAGTGGGGTTTATTGTTCCATACACAATAAACCGTTCTGGACTCTGGTGTTGTTTAGGCCCCTACTCTGTGGGGATTGTCTAACTCGCCAGGGGGCGTAGTACGCTTAAAGTGGCTTGGGCCACCGTGGGATTAAGCCTTTCAGGCAGGAACCCACGATAAACCCTTGCTACAAATTCTGTACTTCAAATACTTGTTTTTCTAAGTTTACCCATCCGGTAATTAGATAAATACTTTTGCGTAAACTCATCTGATAATTCACCCAAATAGTACGCATAAGAAATGTTCACATTATGTAATCGCTTTCTAATCTCTATACTTCCTCGTGGTTTAATCAAATAATAAAACGTGTTATCCGTTGTTACGATTGTTGACGGATTAGTGAGATTGTAAGCCTATTCTTTATACTGATAAGAATTGCTTTATTGCCAAGGCTCACAGAGATACTAGAATTGATTTGCAGTTATACTATAATGGGTAAAATGGGTATATTTTTATTATGCAGTCGATGTTCATAAAATTGAATGGGAATTTAAAACATATTGAACTGAAAATTTTGGAATACCTTTCCCGCTTACATTCCCGCTTTAACATCTGCAGTCACATAACCATTATAATAATAAAACAAGTAAGAAAATTATATTCCGTTGTGACCGAATATTTAATACCCCTCACCTCTTATTCCAAAAAAAGTAAAAGAATGAAATTTTCGTGCGCTGCTGAGCTTTTCTATTTTCAAAACAAAAGTTATCCATTCGCTTAGACGTCTGAACATTGTAGGCGTGTCCTTTGAAAAATTTAAGTCACTTTCAAATTTTTTTTGCAAATTTATGGGCGATATCTTCATTTACGGGAGAGTGTTTACCACAAATACCACATACTTCCGCAGACAGCGAATGGATGGACACGCTTAGGTGCATTCCAAATTTGAAACTGGCCAAAAATTTATACACTTTATGGGGCTTTTGAAGCTTACTTACTAACTTAACTCCGAGTAATTCTTAGGTATCTTTCTGCGATACTATATAATGCTTGTGACTTAAACAACGACTGAGGAAGACGGAGATCCTTTATTTCGCAAAGGCGTAGTGGATGCCGCTGTTGTGATTCATCTGTGATAAATGGAACGCAAAGACTGACTTTTTACTATTACAAATGTGAACCCATTCCCCATATTTCTCATAATTTTCTTTTCCCAATTCTACTTCTCGTACTATTCAGCAAAAAGATTTTATTAATTGTGCTTACTTTAAGACATTGATAATATATTCACTATTAGTTATTAGTTTCGTATTTCGTTAACCAATTTCCCTCCTTTTGAATCTTTCGCAAAGGAAATTTTTTAAAAATTTGAGCTGGGAATTCGTCTAATATGTCTTGCAATTTATTCTCTTGCACTTTTTTGAATTTCCCAGGCCGTTCTTTGTCTCTGACATCAAAATAACAACTTTTGAACTGTTAACCAACTTAAAACCAACAATTGGGTTATGTTAGAGCACTATCAATGCTATCACGTTATTTTAGGCAGAGAAAGGTCAATTTCGTCGAATTTAATCGTTGTATGATCAAGATACATGCAAGCACCTATTAACATGTAACTATGTAACTATGATGTCCTCTCCTTCGCCAAAGTAGAAAGAATTCGGTGATCACTGATCACCATATTAGTGCCGTTGATCTCAGCTTCATCTGTGACATTGGGATGGGCCCAAGGAGAGGCTAATTTTTATATCGCTTGTTTATGTTAAATATTGATCTCATTCTAGTGATCCCATATACAGTAATGTGTGGCAGTAGCAATGAATTTGTTGTCACTTCTCTTTTTGAACTGATCTGAGAAGCATTTCAATAATAAATCTGCGCTAATTTCCATCCTGAACCGACCCTAATTATTAAGTACGTCTTCCAAGGTTATTTACTGTCTCTTGTATAGCAGAGAGGGAGAGAGGTTCACGCGACCACTGAAATGATTGGATGACTCAATTTTATTCGAATAAATTCTGACTTATATATCGGAATACAAAACTTGCCTGTGCGGGATTTCTTATTTTTAAGAGAAATCCACAACTGAAAAATGAAAATAAAACTTTATAGGAGATTATCTATTG